ATAAACATGATGTCACTCTCGTTCCATTCATCCTCCTTTGGACAGCGGCTGTCAGCACAGCTCGAGAAAAATGCCACCTTCCCAGTGACAGCTGCCATTGGAGCGGCTTTGTGGTGCAGCCTCGCTAGGAGAGGAGAGGAAGGGGGACTGGGGGGCCGTGAGATGCTATTTAAAGGATGCTGTGCTGGGGTGAGGCTCACGGGAACTCAGCTGCAGCCAGGAACTTCTTCTGCCAGCTTCCGAGGGCGCTGCCCTGGCCATCTGGCAGGTCGGGCACCGCCATGGCACGCAAAGCAACCTTGTTCTTCAAGGCCGCTGCCCTAAAAATAGGAAGACATAAAAGAGGACATCCGAACCAGCCCCTTGGCTTGGCCTGGTTTGCAATTGTGCGGGCCTTTTCTGAACTGGGCTGGTGTGTCCAAAGCGGTCGGCCAAAAATAAATAAAGGGGATAAAACTTGACTTGCTCCAGCTTCCTTCCAAAAACCTTGGCCGAATGCCATTCTTGACCCTAACCATAATAGTGTCTAGACGTTCTCATTTGTAAATCATGGTTTGTGTGCAACGAACCATGGATTAGCACATGGGGTGAGTTAAAAAAAATACAGGGCTGTGGTTGTGGGGGAAACAGGAGGAGGAAGGAGTATTGGGTATGTTTTCCGCCTTGAGTTGTTTATAAAAATAATAATGGTGGGATAAAAAAATCTAAAACATGAAAATGCATCTTCTCTTGCCCCCTTGCCCAGTTCCCCTGATGCTTCTAGCAGCGAAACTACAGAGATGGAAAGTAACATGCAGAAATTTTGGTAGCCAGCTGTATAATCAGAGTACTCAATAAAGGGAACTGCTCAGAAATGCTGGATCTACTAGTTTACATGCCTCGTTTCCCTCTCTCCCTTATTTGTAAAAGGATTTTAATGTTTATAATACCACTGTGTAAGAAGGTACATTGACGACTTCCTTTCCCTCTTTTTCCTTTTCACCTGCAATCAAGCACTTTGAAATGCTACGATAAATCCAGCAGGCCGGATCTGGCCCAAGGGCCCCTAGTTGCTGCTCAGGAGAGTTGGCCTCGCAGCAGCGGCGTTCACACTCCATCAGGGCCCTTCCACTAATTGCTTCGCACTCCTTCCCGACAGACATGCCTTCAGCAGATTCCCCAAACTTCATAACCCTTCCCGCCTCCACACAAACCTTCAGGGGCAAGGGCACTGAAGCAGAGAAGGAGCGCGCGTGCCAGCCTTCTCGGCATGGCACCTTTCAAAGGGACCGCTTCGACTCCAGCTTCCAGCATCTGCGCCAAGAGCTTCGCCGACTCCTGCAGGACCCCGTCTCCCTGGGATGCCCGGATACATGTGAAACGGACTGTTTTTCTCAGAGCAGGGCTCAGCCCAGCAGCAGCGGGCGCCCACATTTTGTGCCAAGAGGCACAGCTTCTTAGCCCAGGAGGGTTGGGGGAGTCTGGGAATCGAAGTCCACACAGCTTAAAATGGCCAAGGTTGAGAAACACTGGGTTAGGCACTCCGAATTTCTATTTTAAATCCTGCATGTTCCTTCATTCATTCACTCATATAGATAGATAAGTGATAGATAGATATATAGATTGATAGATAATAGATCATCTATTATCTATATCTATTTATTATCTTATCTATCATATCTATAGATAATAAATAGATATAGATATAATGATAGATAATAGATATAGATAGATGATCCATAGATAGATAGATAAAATAAATCTCTAAGATACATCAGACCTCCTCCTGGGGGGCAAATACAATATTTACGGGAAGCAAGAAGGAACTTCAAAAAAGGCTCCCCAGACATTTGACAGCCCCTTCCTGTATAGGAATTCAGGAAAGCAGGCACAAAACGTGCATTTCCCCCTCCCCCATTGCTGTTTACCAACGGAGCCCCCCACCCGTCAGCCTTCTGGGCTCAGCTTCCCTCTCCCGTATTTGCTCAAAGCCCAAACTTGCGGAATTCGCCTCCGCGGGACCCTGCAGCCGCAATTCTGTTCCTGCAGGAAATTCAAGAAACGCAGCGCTCCCTTTGTCAGGCCTACGCGTGTTACTTACTGGAGCATCCTTCTGGAAATCCCACAGCCACATTTCCTAGGCTTGGTTGCTTCCAGATGTGTGGACTCCAACACCCAGAATTCCCCAGCCGGCACAGCCACGGCAGAGAATTCTGGGAACGGCTGCCATTAAAAAAACCGTGCCGGGCCAGATCTGTTTCTAGTGAAGAGTCAGGGGAAAAGGCTGTCCTCGCCTCCCAACCAAATTCCCCTAAACCGGTTGCTTGCTGGTTGTTCGAACAATGGACTGGTTGGGAGGGTATCCCTGCATCTGGAAGGAACCAAGTTGGAGAAGTTCACCTCCAACCTGGGGAGGGGGCTTCTCTCTCCCCCCTTTGGCTCGTTTTAAGAGTTGCATGGTGTGGGGAGGGGGGTGTTCACTGATGCAACCAAAAGCTGTTATTTCAACAGTCGGTTGACTAGAAAAGCCTTCGGGGCTCTGGGCGGGGAGGTGGCGGCATTATATTCCTGCAGCTCCTGGCCCCCGGGGAGAGAAACGAGACAGTGAGAATAAGGAAACAGACCACGTCAGAAGGGAAAGCAGGTGGCATTTAAAAATGAGGCAAGGGATTATTAGCGGATGCAACCCCGCGAGGGCCAGAAGCGAAGCAAGCTAGAGTCAGCCCTGCCTACGATTTCACCAGCCAGAATCTCAGCCAGTCTCGCTTTCTGGTGCCACTTTGCCCAGGCCCCAAAGAGCTACAGCTTGTGGAGAAAGCTCTCCTACACTCTTCCACCCCACTGTAATTCGCACAGCAAAGGGTTACAGACCCTGAGATAGATTTCTCACACTTAAAGTAGCTGTGGCACTTCAGAACATGATCAGCAACTTTGGCCAAACTCCAGCTTTGGGGCAACTTTTTCAACATTCACCGCAACTTCCCTTGAGGAAGAACTTCCTCAGATGTTGATCAAGGATGCATTTTCAAGGCCATGCCAAAGCGTACCCTTGTACTAATGTTGCAACTCAAGCCACTCACCATAATAGAGATTCTGGGCCAGAGCAGATGAAAAGAAGCTGAAAGTATCATAGTTGCCAAGAAAAGGATGAACTAGGTAGGAGAAAAACCTTGAGGAATACCTTTGGGAAACTAGATTTCTTCCTAGCCCCTTTTCCCACCAGCAGAGAAATAGAAGGACCCCAGTTCCCTTCCGAGGACGTCACGGACAAGACACATACCTTCTCATCTTCAGCATCACCATGGAGTCACAATAAGAGCATAGAAGGGTCATCTGCATCCAGAGATTGGCCAACATGGAGGCTCCAAGCTTCCAATAATAGAGACTAAAGAGAACTGAGGTCTTCTCACAAAGTTGTTCGAACTGGGGGAAGGAGGGGAAAATCAACCAATCTGAGGATTTTATAGCAGGAAGCAGCAGTAATTTGTTTGGCTGGAGTTACCTGATTTCTCCAAAGGAGTAGGCTGGTGTCTCAGCAAAGGCTTTCTACACTGCTTCATCTTTGGAGGCCAGCAGACACAAGTTGGCCCATGACTAAGTCAAGGTAAATCAACCCTAGTCCACAACAAGGCTTTCAAGGTGTGTCAGAGATCATCTGAAGGAACCATCAGTTGAGTCCTTCTCAACACTGGAACTTCAGCCTTTATAGGTTTTAAATGCCTTGAGGCATTTGTTTGATTTCTAACTCATCAACATTTTGTTCTATAGTCTCTTTTCCAGACCTCCAAACAAAGACAAATGACTTCTGTAAAGTTTCCTGAGGCTGTTTTCCTGCAGCTTCAAGTTTAAAGGAACCACAGACCTCTCTATTCCTGACCTTGACCATAATGCGAGGTCTGCTTACCAGGCAGCAGGAAGAGAAGGACATAGTGAGACAGACCGTTGGTCTATGGCACCGGCAGACATTTTTGGGTGCTCCCCTAGCGCCACTTGGACAACCTGACAATTAAACTTTAGACCTTCATCCAGCGATGCAGGAGCCCAGAGAGATTGGCCATCCTGATTGCAGACCATGCCTTATGGCTTGGTGTTCAGAGTCGGTCTACTACAATTTGTTCAACAAGCCATAGATAAGCCAACCAGAGTTTAACATGGCAGGTAGTCCAGGCATGGTCTGCATATCTTCCATTGGCAGATCAACCTGATCTCTTTCAATGCTGTTAATCTTTTAATTCTGTTATTAGAAGAAGTGTTAAAGGATTGGGGAGGGCCGTGTTGTTTTTACAGGTGGCTTTGGGTGTTAAAACAGTTCTGGCTGGCTAGCATGATGGGAGTTGTAGTCCAGTGATCTGAAGGGCATCAGGTTGTTGGAAAAGGGTTACCCTCTCATCAGCATTATGGTCTCTTTCTTTGGGAACTGAGAGAGGAGGAAGGCGCTGATCTCTTCTCATCTCACTGTCTTATGACGGAGAGAGGTACAAAAAGCTTCTAGATTGTTTCTCCATCTTTTTCTCCTCCTCCTCAGCCCCCTTCCCCAAATCAGGATTCTCCCATCTTTCACTGCAAGGGCAATTCACGTGGAGGTAGTTTCCGTAAGTGGCTTTATTACTGGTTAGATTTTTACAAATTTTGATAGCTGAACAGACGTGTCACTTTTCTCTTTTTTTAAATTCTAAGACATCAGAACGACCAGTGAAGGGCTTAGGACTTAATTCAAAGTAGCAAAACTCGTATTAACATTTTCATTTCT